CCTGGACTCTTTGATCTTCATTATCACTTGTAGGATATTTTCTATTTTCCCATTTATGCCTTGCAATAGGTTATCTCTCTGTGATTCTTTGTCATAGTGTCCCTAATGATTTGAAATATCAACACCATTTCTTTTAAAATCTCACTCATTTTACCCTGGTGGAGCATCTTGGTTTATTTTAGTAATTCCTGCTCTTACTCAATTGTCCAAAAACAATATATTCAAGTTCAATGTTGCTCCTCAGAAAGTTCAATAATTATAGTTCTTTACATCTCAGGATTATTAATCAGTTCCATTTAAATAGTCCAGGCAGCTTTCCACAGATCAAAAGTCACTTTACTTTACTTAAGAGTCTTCTTTATTCTCACAATAGAGTCTCCAGCAAGTATAAAATAAATAGTTATAGAACAGTAAGTATCACCACAGTCCTCCAGATAAATGTTATTTATTCTCAGGCTTGTAGGGGTATGGTATATTTTCCATTCACCAGTAGATGGTGCCCTCAGCTTAGGTTTCAGAGTTGTTTCAAGTCTGATAAATTGATTAATCCAATTTTAGTTCAATTTATGGGAACAAAGTTGGCTGTTCAAGTAGATAGTTCTAGCATTTTATAATACCTATCCAAAACAACGCCTACCCAGTTTAAAAATCTAATCTTTTATGTTTTAAAAGGTCTTTAGTTTTTTTCCCCTTAGTTCCTTTCTCTCGGGTCTAGAATTTTTCTCTCTATGGTTGTTCGCTACTTTACGAAATAGTTCTAAGAGTCTCTTTTCCTGGATTTTTTTTTCTTTTAAAGTCTAAATAAAAAAGAATCTTCTCGACCAGCTCCAGTCACTGTTCATCTACACCACTCCTGCACATTTCTTTGTTGCTTTGGCTGTCCCAGCTTCAGGGCAGCCATGATGGCTGCGTCTTCTCCTCATAGTGGATGAGAGGGAAGAAACGCTGGGTCAAGCAGGAGAGTTGCAGCTCTCTGCAACCTGCAGGGTGCCCTCTTTTCTTCACCACCCCTACAGGGTAGCTTTAGCTACTTTCAGAGCCCTCCAACGGGGAGAACTCGGCATGGGGGCGCAGAGACTGCAACGTCAGCCGGAAGTCCCCAAGTTGAGAGAAAATTTTGTTTTTTCTCTGCTATATGGAGATAACATATCTAGGATTCCTATATGTCTCAGAAGAGCATTGAGAGCCCTTATGCAATTTTGCACAGAAAATAAATTGGAAATTAACTATCAGAAAATTGGAATTATGAATTTGGCCAGGAGACTCAAAAGCCATGCCTGTCATATAATAGGCAATCAACTGCATATGTTACCAGATATTTGGTGCTGATGAAAAATATTACCGCAGATGTTTTATGGTACATAATTGGTCCACACCCTCAGCATGTCCAGTCTAAAGTTTAAAAATTGGCATTCTTTGGCCAAAGAGGTTACAGAAAAAATGCTTTAAAAAAAAAGCCTCTGATGATCATGCGGCTCAGCTGGGCATGGGGGGGGAGGGCAGGGATTTTTGCTACTGGTTCTCCAAACCACCAGCATCACTATTGGATCAGGTGATTCGGTCCAAACTGGGAGCATTATAAGGCAAGGACATTTATTATTTCCAATCTCAAATAAGTCTTTATGAGAACTCTTCAAAAGTTGTAATTTAGGCAGTTCACACTGTTATTTTAATGTATGAATGCAACCTGACCTAAAAGAAATATCTTTCCATTTAAAGGACAGCTTCTTGTTAACTACTGATACATTTATTCAATGTAATTGTCCTTCATTTGCTGTGATATTCATTCACTCATGCTGTCTTATTTTTCATAGTTAAATCAACGAGGTAAAAAACTAGTAACAGAATATTCATTTTTATTTTTTATTACAGTTACTTTCTAATCCTCTCTAAGAAGAAAGGGGTGGATATCTTTCAATCTAATATATTAATAAATGTTTTCTACTGTGTGATAATCATTAATATTATAAACCAATTTATTTTACAAGATTTCCATAGAGAAACAGAAGTAATGATTCTGACAGATAAGTCAATTTTAATCAGCTCTTAGATCTCATAATTTTTCTTCATTGAGCAATATGTTAATACAACATATTACATTATTTTAATTACATATTCAAATAGAACATTGTTGGTCAAGTATTGTTCAATATTCAAATATAGTATATACACATAAACATGCACACATTTCTAAGAATTCTGCTCATTATTCCTTTTTTTCTCTCTCTCCCTATTACACACGTATTATACTATATATTATACTATACCTACCAACAAACTGTATTCATTGCTATACCTTTTTTCACAAGCTGTATATCTAAAAATAAAGTATAAACATCACTAGAATAAATCCCCAGCAGCCAACACAGTAAAGGCAACAAGAGGCAAGAATCTATCTCACAGTTTTAAGATCTTATCCCTCTAAGCCATCATGTTAACTAAACCTCTGTTTTTGTTCACTAAGGAGCTAACTTCAAATTTAAAACAAACACAAACTGAAACACCCTTTAAGCAAAAATAAGGTTGCTTCTTTATTACACACAGACTTTTCATATGATACTTGAAAATAGATATTTATATAAATTTTAAATTCACAATGTAAAAGTATGGAAATATTAAATATAGAAATTATTTACTAGAGAAAATGTCAACTCAAAATACAAAATTTAAGTCAAGCAAGACATATGGCATTATGTTTTTTAGCATTAGTTGATTTATCATAATATAAGTTAATTCATTTTAGTATAAAAATTATATTAAGGAAAGTCTTTTAACACTGGATGCTTTCTTAACCAGCTAACTTTGAGATATCAGCTTTTCGTAATTGTAGATAGTGCTAGAATAGCCTAATCTGCTACTGTAGGACATTTCTGACCACTGTAGCTAAAGTATCTCTCCTACCATTTAATATTTTCTCCTTTCTTCTGGTTTTTACTACTACCATGCAGATTAACCTTCAGAGACATTGGCTTCCCTTGCAGAAAAGTATAGAACTCACTGGGTTACCAATGCTAATAAGGACATACTTTACTCTGGAGATCCCTCAATCTTTTGTGATCTATATTAGAAAACTTTTCTTTTCTCCCTTCTTTTCCTCATTATTATTATTATTATTATTATTATTATTATTATTATTATTATTATTATTATTAATTTGATTTATATGCTGTCCTTCTCCGGAGACTCAGGGCGGCTTACAATGTGCTAAGCAATAGTGCCACATACTTCATTCCCAGGCACTACCCTGTACAGGGATGACTCTCATCCTGTGATTCTAGCAGATCTGAATGGCCTAAGGTTGAGGCAGTTGGCAAATTGGGTCTGGACTGGTTGGGACTTGTTCAGTATCAATTGTTCCTTCCCCAGCTGCAGTGAACTTGATTGTCTCCTGGCTTCTGCCCTAACTGCCCTTTACTGTTGCTGTCTACTGCCAGCTGCTTTACCTGATGAGCTATGCTTCTTCCATGTTTGAGCTCTCTGTTACTTCTTTGTTACCACGGTCTGATTCCTGCCACCAGTCTAGATTCCACACATACATTGTCAGCTGTTTGGACTCTATTCCATTTAGCTGAGCTCCCTGGAATTACACAGCCCAGTGCTGACATCCTAATGTTTGGAATCTTTGGTGACATCCTCTGATATTCTACAGTGCTGGAGCTCTGCTACAAAACCAGCAAATGTTTCCTTGATATAAGAAGTTGTCCTGTATATCCCAGAAATATTATTGGAATTTCTAAGTATTAATGATTAGGAAATTAGGATGACTCCTTCCTCAATATTTTAAAAACCTTCTAAGAAGAAATGCAAAAGGCTGTGAGAAATTACATTTTTCATTCACTATTATTGTATTGTTTCTTAAATATTGTTCAAAATATACATGGGAAAAACAGAGAGGTCTATGTGGTAAACAGAACCTATTTTACAGCTAGGTTTTTTTTAAAGGAAAAATAAACCTTTCTGTTTTAATAATAACATTTTAAACTGCTATAGGCAAGTCTACAATATGTTCCATACCACAATCTTCAAAGTCATCAATCATACGCAATCTAGAACATCTGAGACAAAATGTGTTAATAACATGCCATTAAAATGCAAATCTTTCCAGGTGTATTAATCATTTACTAGACTTAAATGAAGGGTAAAAACAGATATATAGATACAGATATAGATGGTATGTAGATATAGATTATATACATATAGATTTATATATCTGAATACACAAAACACACACACACACACACACGTGCATACATACATGCACACACAACACCATTAGTAGCCATTTATCCTGCCTTTTTAAAATGATATGCAGTACCTCATGAAATTGCCAATAATTTCTAACAGGAATGGTCTTAGCATTACTACCTATATTGACTAGAAGTAAAGTATTTTGAGATACCTTTATTTGCTTTTTTCCTGAAATAAGACAGTGATTTGAACCTATTTTAGGTACCCCTCAAAAGTTTCAAAATAATACCAACATCTGCCACTAAAGTACATGTTTTTAAAAATCCTTGAGAAGGCAATAGAGATATCATACATCCCCCAATTAATAAAAGCTGGTTATCATATTTGCTGTAGCTAATATTTTTAAAAGTTGAACTTTTGCATGATCTGTTACTCATTTGAATGAACATGCACCTGATAGTAGGCATATTTTAAGAATCCACATCATGAGTCAACCAAGGAACTGTGGCTATCTCCCTTCAGAGCCCAGGAACCAGCAGTACAGCATGAGCTGACATGGAGCTACATTATTATAATCACAGGAGATAAAGAATATAAAAGTAGAAGGCAAATCAGTTACACAAACAATTTCCTTGTGTCATAGGAGGCCTTTTAAAAGTTACTTGTAGATGACTAGTCAGTTTGGTGTCGTAGTTAAGGCATCAGAGAGGAAACTGTGACACTGTAAGTTCTAGAACTGCCTTAGCCACAAAGCCAGATGGGTGACTCTGAGCCAGTCATTTTCTCTCAGCCCTAGGAAGAAGGCAATGACAAACTGCTTCTGAAAAATGTTGCCAGGAAAATTGCAGGGACTTGTTCAGTCAGTATCTGAGGATCATACATGATTGAATGAAAAAAAAAGTCATCGAGGAGGCTCTGATTCAAAGTATGTAATCATTGAAAAACTTGTATGGTAGATTTGGTATATCACTGCTATTAACTTGCTAGACCACTGCTATTAATTAATTCTAATTGTTAAAAAGTAACCAATATGCCTTATTTCCCAGTTATCACTTTTTCCTTTAATAAGAAAACAGATGTTGGTCCTACCTGATACACCCATTTTCTGTAGGAGAGGAGAGACTTCAGGCATGGGATTCACTGTCTTCTAGCTCTACAGACCGAGTTCAAACTGAAGAGATGCCCACTCTGCTGACGCTCCCAGTTTCAACGTTGTTGTCACGAGGTTTCAGGATGCAGCACCTGTAATGACACCCCAAAGAAACCCCGGACCAGACCCCTCTTAGGGTGGGGCTGGAGTCTCTTCTCCCCTACAGAAAATGGGTGTATCAGGTAGGACCAATACCCGTTTTCCTGATAGGGGACTCGAGACTCCAGGCATGGGACTTACCAAAACTGGCAGTCCTCAGGGGTGGGTTCCTGTCTGGTCCTGCTCACCGGGTGTCTCCAGTACTCGCTGAAGGACTCTCCTGCCGAAGGTGGCCTCCACCGAGGTAAAAGAATCCAGCCGCTAATGCCGGATAAATGGCAACGGAGGTCGCTGCCCAACAAATCTCCTCCACCAATGCCTGTGTCGCCCAGGCTGCCATAGTAGTAGCACTCCTGGTAGAATGTGCGTAATCGCCCTGGGTCTCAGTAAGGATTGTACATCAAAAATGACACAAAAAGTGCTTCTGTTTTCCAGAATGTCTTTGTTCTCTTTATATAGATATGCAAGGCTCTCCGTACATCCAGAGTGTGCCATACTCATTCTCTGGAGTGAGACGGATTAAGCAAATATCCAGCAAAATAAAGTCCTGTGCCCGATGAAACCAGGAGTTGATTTTGGGCATAAGGCAGAGTCAAGCCGTAACACAACTCGATCAGTGTGAAAAATACATAATTCCTCACGGAGAGTGTGGCAAGCTCCGATATTCTCCTGGCCGATGTTATGGCCACGAGAAAAACCACCTTATATGTTAAAAAAATCAGGTGGGCAGTCCTGAGTAGATCAAAAGGAGCTTTGGTGAGTGCCTGTAACACTTTAGCGAGATCCCAAGAAGGATACTGATGAATCATCATAGGCCTTAAATTGGTGGCTCCCCTGAGAAATCTCCGCACCTCTGGGTGCTGTGCTACCGAGTCACTCACCCCACAGGACAAAACTGAAGCCAATGCCGCTACCTGCCTGCAGAGAGCCACCGGGGCTAACCCTCTCTCCAGACCATCTTGAAGAAAGTCCAACAGTTGGGGAACTGAGACCCTGGTGGCCTCAATGGTCCGTTTGGTGCACCATTCACAAAAAATATGCCAGATGGCATCATAAATCTGCATCATGGATGGTTGCCTGGCAGCCTGTATCATCCGTATAATGTTTGTATCCGTACAAGTCTGGCCCTGAGCAAGCCCCCAGTGCTGCCAAGATCTTTGTAAACACTCTGGGCACTGATGCTAGACCAAACGGGAGGGCCCAGTAGTGGAGATATTTGCTGTTGTAGCAAAATCTCAGGTACTGCCTGTGATGTGGGGAGATTGGGACATGTAAGTATGCTTCTGAGGTCGATGAAGATCAAGATGTCTCCCTTCCAGACATTCTCCAAGATTGATTGTAGAGAATGCACCTTGAACCTCCAATACCTCAGATATTTGTTCAGGCCCTTGAGGTTGAGAATCAGTCACACACACACACACACACACCGAGGTCTTTTGGATTACGAATAACATGGAATAATATCTGTGTCCCTGTTGTTCTTCTGGGATGGATTCCATAGCCCTTATTTCCAGCAAATGTTGAATGGCGGTGTCCATGAGCCTTTTTTTGGCCGTGTCCCGTGATTTGGGACAACAGATAAAAAAACCTCGGGGGGCATACGAGAAATTCCATGGAGAGACCGGATGTTATGGTCTCCCTTACCCACCTGTCAGTAGTCATTTGATCCCATTGGTCCGCGAACAGACCTAGTTGGCCACCAATGGGAGCCCTGTCCCTGGAGTCAGCGGGGGTGGCAAAAGGAATGATTCTCCCCCCCGAAATGGCTGCTAATTAGGGGGACACGCTCTGTTTCTGTCTGCGAACCCCTGTCCTGTCTGATAGTACTGTCCTGGCTGATAACCCTGTTCCTGGGCGAACCCCTTCTGGGACCGGTTGAAACTTGACCCCCCCATAGGGACGAAAATAAGGTCTTTGGAAGGGTGCTGAGGAATGGTTATCAAACTGCCGTGATAGAGCCAGCAAAACCTTTCTTCTTGTCCCTAGCTTCTATCACGATTGGGTCCAAGGATGCACCAAATAACCTGGACTCTTTGAATGGGGCAGATGCCAGTCTCCACTTTCGTTTGGAGTCTGCCTGCCATTGCCGGAGCCAAAGTAGGTGTCTGGCCGTAACAGCTGAGGCAATGGCATGTGCTCCAAACTTAGCCAAAGTCAATGTGGCATCCGTAGTAAATTCTGCGGCAGCCACCACTTTATTAAAGTCTTGATGCGTCCTAACATCACTGGCTGGCACCGTCTCCTACATCTGCTTTAGCCAAAGTAGAGATGCTCTAGTAAAAAAGGATGCCGCTGTGGCCGTCTTAATCCTCTAGGCAGCTGCCTGGCATGCCTTATGGAGCACTAGGTTTAGTTTTCACTCCTCTGGCTTCAACTCCTCCTCCGCCTCTGCTAATGCCGCTGATGGGGATGCTAAGGCAATCACTGGCTCATCAACCTCCGGGACCTGTAGGAGCTCGGTGAGATCAGGGGCCGTGTTATAAAACTTCCTATCATATGAGGTTGTGTTTGGATATGCTCCTGGGGAAGTCTTCTGTCTTTGGATCATATCCAAAAATAATTGGGGTGCCGGAATAGTCTCCATTTCGGTAGTGGGCTCAGAAAGGAGCAACTCAGCAGGATCCTGCTCTGCCCTTGGCCCTTCCAGTGGCAGCCGTGCGCAGCCTCGTAGAGCTCTTCGCCTTGAAGAGCAGGGCCTTGAACAAGTGAGGCCTGAACAACCACTTGAAGACGGGTTGGTCTGGTATCAGGCCCTTCTCCTCCGACAACTCCTGGTCCAACTGACATTCCTCCATGGACAAGGAATCCCCAGTTGGTGCTTGCCATCTTCAAAGCTGTGCTGCACCGCTTCAAAGTTCCATTTCTGGACCATTGATGGCATGTCCACCTCACCACCTCATGGCTGGCGGTCCATCGCCGCAGTCAGAATGAGAGAGTCTGCTGAAGAAGGCTTTGCCCCCCTGCTTGACTCTCCCCCTAGGGGTAGTGGTGATAATGACCCAGAGGGCCTGAAGCTAGTGGAGGGGCCTGGGTCGGCCAACAACTCAAGATCCATGTCAACAGTCTCCACTGTCTGGGTAGTGCTGGTTCTGACTTTGGGCCCTAATCCCCCCTGGGGACTAAGATGTCTACACTTCTCAGCGGCTTTAACACCTTTCTTTGCTTGCTTCTCTAATGCTTTCTGTAGCTGCTTTTCAGCTCTTTCCTGGGCCTTAGACAGCCTCCTGATGGATATCTCCTTGGCCTTTGGCTTAGCTGCCTCCTCCTTGTTCCCACTCTTAGACTTATTATAACAGCATCTGAATCCATGCCCAATAGCTCTGTGGGAGTGAGAGCCCTCATCCGGCTCCATAGGGTCATTAAATAAGGTGTCAGAGGCCATCTAAATATCTGAAATGTCACAAAATGTCACCTGTTCAAGGAAACCCTGTCCAGCAATCCTGCTGGAAAGTCAGTATACATCACCAGTCCTGTGCAGCTGATGTTGCAATGCTGTGAGCCCACGCTCTTCTGGGTCTGCAGCCCCTACCTGCAGTCCGCCTCGCAATCTGCGTAGTATCCCACCAGCTGCCGCTGCTGCGATCCGACTCTAAGCGGGTGCAACCCGAACCAATGCCAGCCTTTGATGCCTGAGGCCTTCTGGCAAGCTGCGCTGAATGGGCCTTCCAAATGCAAGAGCAGGTTCGGGCCTCTGGCCCTTCATGCTCTGTGAGAAAATGGTGTGCACTGTCAAGGAGGTATGCCCCTGACGCATCTAGTCCATCTGCGCCAATTTCCCTGTGACCCTGTGAAATCCTCTTGTAGGCCTAATAGCGGGGTCGGACCCAGGGCCCTTCACGCTGCCTCCTGAGGGCTGCCGCCATACCTGAGGGCTGGAAACCAAGCCCTTCTGACAGCCAGTTGCTTCAAGCCACAAAAACAAAAACTGCTGGCAATTGTTTTAGCTGTTGCAAAATGACTGCCGCAGGCGGTAGCCTTCCAACCACTCAGATGGCCTCTTCGCATCAAACACTATGGTGCCAAAACTACCGCAGGTGCAAGCTCTTCGCACCGCCCAGCCAAAAGAAAGGAGAACGGGACAGCTCGCCAATGGCAGCCGCAGTCTGTTGCTCCAACAGCTCCGACTGCTCTCCATGCAAGCCTCACGTGAACACAATCTGCAGTGGGCTTGAGCCTTCAGTTCTTCATGCTGTCTGGCCAAATTGAATCTCAAGTTGTGGTGGCTGGGAACCAATGCCCGCCAAATGGTGGCCGCCACCAGCCGCTTCCAATTGTTCGAACAGTGTTGTGCGGTAATCCAAAACGCGGCTAAAATCACAGCAACCTCAAGCCTATGGCTCCTCCACTGCCCTGAATAATCGCAAAATTAGTCGCCGTGTCAATATCTATCTAATATCTTCCTTCCAAACAGATAACACTCTCAATAAGTCTTTTATTTTCTTTTTTTTTTTGCGTATTTTTTTTTAATTTTATAAACAAACAAACATACAATAAGTAATCAATTCTTCAATGTAGCATCTAGGTACATCTTTTATGGCTTATTATTATTATTCCTCTGATCTTCTTAATATACTGCTCAAAAAAATAAAGGGAATACAAGCAGAAGACATCCGAGATCTGAATGACTGAAATAGCCTTATTAAATACTTTGTTCTTTACATACAGTAGTTTATACA